CATTAACATTTGCAACCTAGCACTAACTTCGGTAGTAAAAAGGTAATTTATTTGCTTAGAGAAGAGTTCGCTTCCTAGCATGAAACACTCAAAAGAAACTAAATGTAGACTTTGCCTTAATAGTTGAAAATTCAAAATAAATGAAGCTTATGTAAAATGGCACTAACAGACTAGAGCTACAGTGGACTGCTGAAATTGGATTTGGTTAGCTATAAACATAATTAGCTTAAAGCATTCTAGCTTGCCATGCAGTGTGAGCTCTCATAGGCTGGGATGTGATAATGCTTTGCTCTTTTGCATTTTAACTCCTTGTGGAGATGCAAAAGCCAGCTGATCGTAGGCTTTGTAGAAGCTAAATTAACCACGGGTTCCTTGGGGGTTAGTGGCAAACTGTGAGGTTTATTTGGTGTTGAAGTGTGCTAAAGATAACGTGACAGTAACCTAAAATGCTGTACTCGCCTCCTACCAATTCTGAGCGCACCCAGAATTTTTAAACATCTTCAGAAACATAGGTTGTATATGCCCTTTATTCTCATGAATGAAATGTTAGTGCTTGATTTGACCTGAACAGTATATACAAACAAGATGATAATATTGTAAAGTTGCATACAAAATACTGATGTGGTTTAGAATTTTTGCAGCATTTTTATTTCTACAAGACAATGCCCATTATGTGGCATTGTGTTCATTTAATCCAGTGAGTGATGCTGCTTGACCTCAGTCTTTGTTGCAAGTGGGTTGGAATCGGTCAATAAGTAGGCATTTCCACACCAGTGAAACACTCAGATTTATACACATGGGACCTTTATAAAATTCTAAGAATATGTGTACATATGTTAAATCTCTATAGAACAGGCCTAATGTGCAGTCTCTTTCCCTTTCTCAGATGTACAGATCGCTTGAAACAAGTGAGCCTGTGTTCTCACAGCATGCAAACACTGCTTGATGAATCCTTCCACCACTGAGTTGTTTCCAAATAATAAATTCAGAACCTTCAGCTTTTGCCTTTCATCTGACAATCTCAAGCTTTGCAAAGCTGAGATGGCTTTCACTATCCCTCTTCTTCTCCTTTTCCCATTTTCCATGTGTATGTGAAACATTATATTTGCAGAAAAGTAGGGGAAAGTTGCATACAGGACATTCTATTAAATTGTTCATTGCATGGGGTGGCTATATCCCTTCACTTCCTCTTTTTTACCCTCCCAGTGCCTTTCTTTAAGGGAGAATGTTTCAAGAGAGGTATTTCAGAAGAGGGAAAAGGGAGAGAAGGGCCATTTTAATCTCTTACCCCTCCCCCCCCCCAAAAAAAATCATTATGTAGAATACATCTGAGGACTATAATCTTAGTATTTAGAATTGCAGAGGAATATAGTACACAGCAAGTATTAACACCATACTATGCAGAGTAGTTAGAACTCTCCTATTTTTGCAGTATCTGAGTTTTCTAATATATATAGAATATAGACAAACTGACATATTTCCTTTCTTGTATTCTTTTAAAAAATTAACTTCCAGTAGAGGTGGCTTACATCTTCAGCAAGGTTTTTAGTACTTTAACCTTCTGCATTATTACTTCTATTTAGAACTCATTGTAGATAAGCATCTGAAAAAAGAAATACAATAAACATTTGTGTTAATTATATCGTTTCCTCCTACTCTTCTCCCCTTCACCATATGTTCTTTTCTCTCTATGCCTCTCGACTGACTTTTATTAGGGCCTGATACGTGTCTAATCACACACCTCAAAGTATGCTCTGATGATGCAAATGTGACCCTGCTTCTGCACTCTTGAAAGTGTCAATATATCTAAGATAGACAGAGGAAAGAACAATGGGATTAATTCATCAGGTAGTTACTGTGTGTATTTCCCTGGGTCTGTATTTCCTACTTCAGCCTTTGTGTCAAAGGCCTTGTGTCTCATATTACACATTGCCCTTGACCTGGATTGTTTGTTTGTTTGTGGGTAGTTTTTGGTGTTTGGAGTGGGTTGGTTTGTTTGCTTTTTTTAGTTTCCCCCTCCACACCAAATCCCTTGGTTATTTTCCCAAATGTGGTCCTCTGAAAAACCTTTGGGAATTCATCAAGTTTCTCTGACCATGTCTGTGTGACTTTCTGTTATAACATTGATTCACGTGTCCAAATTTTCTTTCTGCTTTCATGGGGAAAACAGCTTCTTTCATTATCCGTGAGATACTAAAATGCACCATTGTGCTTGATCATCAAAGACAGTAGGAAATTAGATGCCATTTTTATCCCTTAAAAATGGGGGACCAGGAGCAGGGCAATCCAATTTAATACGCTTGTATGGGGAGCTCTGCTTCTGAGACCACTGCCACGTAAGTAACTCACCTGAACTTACTGCGAAGATGCACTTTGGTTTCAGAATATAAATTTGCTTTGAGCATAAACATTTTCCTTCTCTGGCCAGTCATTTGTACATACATTTTTTTAGTGGGATCAGCCATAATTCCAGATTTAGCAGTTATCTATTACAGCATAAGGACACGATAGAAATGCTACATTACTTCCAAAAGATAAATTCATTACTATGCTTCTTTGAAACAGCTTTCTGCTGCTTTTGCTCCTGGACGTCATAAGGCTGCACTGAATAATGAAGCACACTGCTCTATCCCCAATATAAAGGACTGAAACCCTTCAGCAGAACTTATCACTTACTTTTTCTATGTTTTCCTTGGTCCTTCCTTACGAAAACCCACTTAGGGAGGGTTTCTTGCATCCTTGTGAGAACAGTGTGGGGGGAAAATGCTGACAAAAATTTTAAACTGTCTGTCAAGACTGCAGTGATCTGCATATTAGGAACAGTCAGTAGTGGTCAGGCCAGGATGCAATAGTGTGACAGAGTGTGGTGCCACTTCCAGTTTGTGTGTTATGGTACAGCCTTGCTTCCCATTGACTGAATTATCAAGAACTGATTTGCTGCACGGGCATAACCACTGTGCATTAATGAAAGATGCTGAAAGCACTCTATGGTATAGTGCACACAAATGTTTGTTAACAAAAAAGAAGGTGGACATGCTTGTGCTATCAAGCAAAAATTTCTTTTTCAAGTGAATTTTTTTCCTTAGACTAGCAACAGTATATACAGGATTTCAGTATTAAACAGATGTGAATGTCCAGTTACACACACAGCAAATTAATAAACTGTAGATCTGATATCGTATTGAATATACGATAGATGTAAATAAAGTCAAGGTCTGACAAGTGACTTTATCACCTTTTCTTGCCAATCATTAGTGGCAGGTTTAATATATTTTAAATTTCTCAGGCCTGTTGAATGCAGGCACCTTGTATGTGCTTTCAAAAAGTTTCTAGGGCTTCCAGTAGTTCTTTGAAAAATGAAGCTAGCTGTTACTTGTCACCAGGGCACTGTGTTGACTTGAAGCAGATAAGGATCTGTGTTAATGTAAAAACAGTTTAAGTCCCACAAAATGAGCCTTAGAATTTCTCTCCTGACATTGCTTAGCATGTAAAAAGAGCTAAACAGCACAAATATTGAGGCAATCCACCATCTCTGTTTAGTTCTTAGCTTGAAAAGATGCTATTGTTTATGTAATATGATCAAAGGGGCACATAATTTATTATATACTGTTAGTCAGCCATGTGCATTTTTACCTTGCTGCCTGTAGGTAAGCTGAACACCTGGTGACATGGCAGCATGTTTAAAACACTGCTGAGAAAATCCGCAGTAACAGCACAGATAATAATAGCTCTTTCAAAATTGAGTAATACACAAAATAAATATCACTTTTAACAAAATTTGCTTTATTGCCTTTGTATGAAGGTAATAGTACAGAGAGAAATATGATCTATTTACTGTTCCTGGTGGGGATGGCCGGTGGGTGGTAAAAGTTGCAGGGTACTGTGCTACTCTGCTCTACACAGTTCCTATAAGATGGTCTTTCTGTCTTTAAACTCCTAGTGTCTTCTGAGAAATGAGAACGCTTTTGTCAGCCAGGTGTTGAATAGAGGTTTTGATATTTAAAGCAAACTGTTCAGTGTTCTTAGAAATGCTAATGTGGAAAAAAATACAGGTACTACATTTTGAGCTTCAAGACAGAAAATGTTAAACAAGACAAGAACGGTATAGAAAGGCAGAGTGAATATTTTGAGGTGTTAATTCTAACTACAGAGGGGAGAAACTAGAATTCTGGAGCGGACACTGGAGCTATATTGTGTGATGCAAGGATGACTCAGCCCACGCTCAGACCATCTTCAGGTCTTGCCGTACTTATTTACATTAAAGTTCATTGCTATTTTAAATCTGTGCATTTAGTGGAGAAGAAGGTGAGAAAAAAGCAGAGAGAGAAGAATAAAAGCAAAAGGAGGGAGGGTAGATTTTAAAACGCAACAACAAAAAGACCTGGACCAATCCCTTATGATCCCCACACTGCGCTCTCAGTGGAGGAGCTTGTAATCCTATATTTGCTATATCAAGAGGATTCTTCTATGAGCACAAATTAATAATTTATTCATAGGCTGGAGTCAGCCCGCATTGATTTACTTATGCTGCATTTCTTTTCATTCATAAGCCCTCGCTAGTCGGGATCTCTCGGATAGTGACTCGCTGCGGCGCTCCGGCGTGGGAGGAAGCAGCAAAACGTGCCTTTATGCCCAAGGACGTGCTATACATATATGACTCAATTAAATGTGCGAGCCTGACCTAAACCCGGGGCTCGCTCCGGGAACCCGCCGCTCCCGCTCCTCGGCGATGCTACCTCGGCGGGGACCGCTGCTCTCCTCCCTCCGCCTGCCTGCGCCCTCGGTGCGGCGCCGCGGCCGGGATGCTCCGCGCTCCCGGCAGCGCAAGGGCTGAGCTCCGGCCATCCTTCGCCTCTCCGGGCTGTGTGACAGACAGATGCTTGTCACGCAGCGGTGCCCTGCCTGAATTGGCCGGGTCTCCGGTGGGTGTGCACGGCCCCCACCCCCCGCCCCTGCCAGCCCTGCCGAGCCCTCCCTGGCTCAGCCCCCGGCAATGTGCAGCGCTCTCTTCTCGCCTTCCTGGAAGGGCTCAACTACACTTTCCGCTCCTCCAGACTTTCTCTGCTTTTGCCGTACAGAGGCACCCTCCCTCTGGTCCAGCTCCTCCTGTGCCTGCCTCTCTGTCTCCGCGCTATCCCGTTAAAAGGCTGCTGCTCCTGCTCCACTGATCCAATGCACTGGCTGACTTGATGTGGGATGAAGGCTGGAGGTTATCGGCGCGGGAAAGAAGAACTCTAGGCAGCTTTCCATTTGCGAAGTGAGCAGTAATTGCAAGAAGACAGCCTCCCCAGTTGGAATCAATAGTCTGCTTTCTTGCTGCTAAGGGCACTTTGGAGCAGCAGTAGGTCACTGAAGTAACTTCAGCACACTGCTGACTGCGGAGTTGTAAAGAACTACATGCAAGTGGCTGCAGTAGTGCTGGAAAACGCTTTGCTGTTACCAGGGACACAATAGTTTTCAAGTCACTAGAGCTTTGCTTCTGGTCCGCTCCTTCCATTACACAGGGTCATTCTTTGGAGGGATGAGGATGGAGCTGTGATTGTTCTCCAGTGTTGTTCTAGTGGAGGGGGCAAGAGTGGGGAAAGAGGCTGTAGAAGCGAAACCCTACTGCTGCTGAACTCAGGTTCACTCGAATTTCCCCAAATCTTTCCAGGCACAGAGAGGCACAATGGCAGAAAATCTGAATCTTCTTCGGGCTTTTGGGGGGGTTTTCTTTATCTTCTGGACAGCTTTTAACACAGCCTTAGTGGATGTGGTTGGATCGGAGCAGCAGATCCCCTTGTCTGTGTAAGTGCTTTCATGCTATTCCTCTCAGGACCATGTTCAAGGATAAGAACTTGACTGCTCAAGTTCTTATGTTTTTGTATTGCAGATGTTTGGCTGTTCAGGGCACCTTTGCTCCCCTGTGAGCTGTGTTTAAAGTGGGAGTCTCTAAGGCGCTCAGCACTACTTTGGTTTTTATTGTAGGAGTGTGTGTTGTGGAGTATGTGGCCACAGAGTCTTAAATGCTTGTATTTACTGAAGTTGATGCTGTTAACTCTTTCTCTTGTGGGAATTTATCATTCAGATAAACGTTTTGCCATTTTATCTGCTGCTTTCCTTTTAATGGATGTATGTTATGTTGTGCCAAAGCATGTTTCTGTACAAGTTGATTCTTTAAGTTTTAACAGTGCAGGTTGGTAGTTTCATATCAGAGGCCTTACCTTAGCACAGTGTCTACTTTGTGCTTATACTTGAGCAGCTTCACTGATCTTTTGCTCTGCTTGGGTTCCTTAGTGAGCTCACTAATGCAAAATTGCTGGGATCCTTCTGAGTGCAGCTGAAGCTGTTACAGTCTGGGTTGCTTTGCTATGACATGTGTATTACATTTCTTCCTGTCTCTTTTTTTTTTCTTCACAGTGTAAAGCTCTGGGCCTCAGCATTTGGTGGAGAGATCAAATCTATTGCAGCCAAATACTCAGGTTCCCAGCTCCTGCAGAAGGTAAGGATTTCTTCAGCTGTAATAAGGAAGGTTTTAACAGAGAAAATGGAGGCAGATTTAATTTTTTAAATGATTAGGAAAGCAGTGCTGTACGTGCTTTTGTCCAAGATCTATTTTTGTATTGCATACTAGTCCCTGATGACTCTTACATTGCACTGCACTATCTGTGGAGTCCTTGGTTAAACTGATATTTTTCAGTTTGGATGACTTCTTTTTTTTTTTTTATCATTAGAAAGTAAACTCCGACACTTTTATTTCTTGAAGCCTGGGCTTCAGCCCGGGTTGCAGGTATTTAATCTGGTTGCTGCATTGTGATGATGATGTTTCTGTGCAGAAACAGCTGTTTCTTATGAAAAATATTAACTTCATTCAAGGAGCAGAATTAGTGCATCTTGTGTTATTTCACCCTGTGCTGTTTGTTCGCAATCCACTGTATCAGGGAGAAGGCGGCTGCACTGTTGTTTGTCATCTCTGCAGTTTTTACAATCCCATTATTCCCCCAATCATCTCAACCCAGTGCTGGGATGTATTACATCATTACAGATAAGGGGAATGAATGTGGTTATCTTCTTGCTCAGCTGCACAGCTGGGTAATAAGCTGGTGAAGTATTGCAAAAACTTGAGAAATTGGTATAAGTCCACGTAATTGGGGCAGAGGGTAATGAAAAAGCAGATTTGAGTATTAGGTATATCAAGGACTGTGCCTACTCTAATTTAAATGTGCAACCTATAGTAAAGTTCTGTATTATAGATGATTTATTTTTACCACAGTTGCTGAAAAAATATGAGACCAAGAGGAATATGTTAAAAATAAGACTGTGATTTTGAGGCACTGAATATGTGATCCTCGAAATGCAATATGTAAATGGAAAAACATTGAGACGTTCACTGATTAGTGCACTCAGTCAACACATATATTTCTGCTGATTTTTTGTAGACGTGATTTTTAATTCTGAGTACCACTAATTTTATTTTTTGTCTGATTTCGAAGGAAATTATTCCTTGAGCTTGTAGCATTTATTTTGAAAGGCTTATATATGTGTGAAATTATGTAACAGACAGTATATGTAGCAACTGAAATAAAAAGCTTGTGCTATCATTTCAACACATTTAAGGCACTAACTTAATTGCCAAAGGCATATGAGTTCCTTAGCAGTATCTGTCTTTTCAGAGTCGTGTACCCAGGACTGTAAAATATGCATTTTACTAAGCTAAAATATGGAGCTATTAAGAACAAAAATGTTTGAGGTCTCTTACTGCCTTTCAGGGCCTTTAAATGGCTTCACTTCAGCATGTTGGGCTAACTTTCATTTTATTCTGAAAACCTGGACACTCAATATCTATTATACTTCTATCTCACATTCTTTAAAGTCTGTGTAGTCTTACATTGTCACGGTTTTGTACGAACACCCTTAATTTAAAAGCAGATGGATCTTTCAGTTTTGATTAGTTTCTACTAAGGTATTATTAAAAGGCTTTAATTTTTTTATTGGGCCATAACAAACAAGTATCTTTATTTAACTTTGGAACTGTTCCATGCACAGCCATTTTTGTGTAAAAAAAAAAAAAGACTTTAAAAATTAAACCTACCAAATGCAGATAGCCCAACATTTCCTAGAAGAATATGGTGTATATGGAATATACCGTGTTTTACAACCTTGCTAAAATCCACGAAGAATCAGTGTGAGATCCTTAATCGTTCTTCTCTTCCTCATGGTAGATATTGCTGCCATCCCTTCTTAATGTTTTTTTTTTCCCCTCTGAAGTAGTAAGATTGCTTCCTATTGGTTGTTATAACTGAAGGTAATTGGAAGCTATTCATTTTACCTTTTCATCAGCATCCTTTCTGTCTCACTAACAACCCTGTGCTCCTGTTTTTGAAGGTGGACAGTGTATATTCATTACAAGCTATTTTGCTTTTGTTTCTTGCTTTTGTTATGATATTTCACTGTTGAATGAAAAAGACAAAATGCATGTTTGGCAGGTATTTAGAGCATTTTTATTCCTGTCACATCATCTGTTTTTTTGTTTTCTTTTTTTTTCTCTTCTGGTTACAGTAATTTTTATTAGATCTCTGTTGCTTTTTATTTTTATTTAGAATTCCAAGCATCTCTGTTTGTTTAAGATTGTTATTTCCTGCTGGTGGTCGTGGCAAATGAGCCCGGACGACAGATGACTTCAACGTGTATTTCTTGTATTGTTCTGATTTATATTTCTTCTGTGAGCTCGTAAACCATACCAAACTTCAAGATTTGCAAGCATTTTCAACATGCAAAGTCAGTGACAGAAGTTGTCATAAGAGCTAAGGAGGTGATAGCACAGGAGGGCTGTAAATGCAAATGCTTTTTTTTTAACACCCTCTCTGTCCCCACTAGCCAGGCAAGAAGAATCTGTTTGGTGTTTACTGTGGGCTCTGGGTGATCAGAGTCCATGTCATTTTGAAGTCAAGATTCCACTTTTAGAAGCAGTGAGACTTCTGATATTACTGGAGAAATCCACATTTCCTGATTATGAATTAAGCATCATTAAACAAGTGGAGATATCAAATGTATGTATGATTATGGCTCTGGGCAGTATAGATTTCTCAATAGCCAGTGCTTTGGAGTACCATTTAGTTTAATAAAGGCTTGCTAAATGAAAAATTAATGTAAAGGTTACTTAATTCATTTTGTCAGCATACATGGTGAGCACTACTTTCAGAGTGATGCACTTGAAATCGAGACACGACTGACAGTCTCTACTGCCCAAATGCTTTGCACATTAAGAGTCAGTTGACCCATACTAAAATTTCATTGAGCAAATGAAGTTATGAGATACTCAGTAAAGCAAAAATTTGCCCGGTTATAGCTGTGAATATTGATTTAGTTGTTACAAGTCTGAAGTCTTGATGTACTGTGAACACCAAATGAGTCACCAGCATTGGTGTCCTCTTGAGTTTATAAAGGATGCGTAAGAATACTTTTGTTGCTTTTTGAAACTATTTTAGAAAAAACCCGAACTACTTACCTTGTCTTAATTGAATGCTTCATTATTTTATTCATTATGATAATCTTATCCAAGTATGTTGTTCTGCCTCCTAAAAGTAACTGAGTTATAGGATTTTTCCAAAATTGACTTTAGTTGAAATACAGACGCTGCAAGTAGCTCAGAAAATGATAATAATAGTTCAGTAAATAACTTCAGCAATTATTATGAGCTTTTAAGCAAAATTAGCACTTAAATGTGTTCTACTCCTTGCTTTTAAAGAGATGGAAGACCACTGAGTGCACAATAAAAACACACAGGAGGAAATAGGATGGTATTATTCTTAATTTGCTTGATTTCTGGAGGTTTTACAGTTGTCATATAGATTTGGCAGTGCACAAGAAGCTTCTTGGTGCTGTAGAGATATTCACGCTCTTCACCTCAGAAAATACTACTGGGGCTAGGAATTGACTCAGATTTTGTTTCTTAGGTGCTTCTTATCCTCTTTAGACTCTCAAAAGACATCTGCCTTATTTGAATCTTGACACTTCTTCACATTCCTTTCATAAACACTCTGTGTTTAGTGAGTCCTGGACTAAATGAGGGAGCACAGCCCACTGGCAAAACCAGGCTTCATATATTAGGATGCAAAGCGAGGCTTAGGTGCCAGAGAGATCTTCACTTCACCTGCTATGATTAGAGTTTTGGAAAAACAGACTTTGGGGAATGCTACTGTTCACGTTACAGTGTCCATGATAATAATGTGTTTTCAGTGCCACACTGTTGCAAAATAATAGCAATAATAACATGAAAGCATAAAAGGCAGGTAATGTGCCTTCTGTTAATGTTAAAAATAATCGTTGTTATACAGTAAAGCTTTTCTCAAGTCAAAGCAGTGCCTGTTTCTCTGAACAGTCTATGCTTTCTCAGGTTCCTTTTGAGGAGACTACATTTCCCCCCCTCCCCCCTAAGTATTCAGAGCTTTGATAATTCTTGTTTTTTTTTGTCCTGAACAGTCAATATTATTTTATTGCCAATGTAGGAACAGTTTCTGACTGAAAACACCCTTTATTTTTGGGTTCTGCCAGGAAGGTTTCTTAATGATGATAGGCTTGTTTAGGGCTCTCTCAGATTCTCCTTATGTAAGTCGTCTCACGGAGCCTCCCCTGTTATGTAAGCACTGGCTGCTTTGGTCTGAAGCAGTCTGGAGTCTGCATCTGCCTACTCCTTTCCACAGATTCTTCATTGTGTTGGGAGTTCTCAAATCATTGTGTGTTCTCAAAGCAGGTTTTTCCATCAGGAGAGCATTGCTGCTTTTAAAGATGCAGAATTGCATTTTATCTCACTGACTGGATGTGCTGCTGGATCTCGAGAGTTTCTTACAACTGTGGAAATGCCAGTGCAAAACTAACGTAATGGGGTGATTTAGATCAATTAGCATTCAGCTGGTGAATCTGATTCATACCGTACATCTATCTTTAGTTCTAAACCGTATAATGGTGACTTAAATTCTTAGAGAAGTTTAGTCCAATTATCTTGACATTAATTGCCTTTCTTTTAGTCAGCTGTACGTGGGTTTTGGTCTTTGTAGGCTGTTTCTTTGCTCAAGACACTGCAACTACTGCTTTGAAGGAAGGGGTCAGTAGGATTGAAACATGCAATTTAAAGGAGAGACAGGGACTGACTTCTCGGGTATCAATTCAAACTTCTGCCAGCTGAGCAATTTTAAAACTGCAAAAGTTATACTGTTTTTTTTCCTATCAAAAATAAGAGAAAAATCGTAAAAAGATCTGTAGACATATGACTATAATTCAAGAAATGATAAAAAAACTCTGACCACCAAAACAAATACCACCCTCCCCTGCAAAAACACCCAAACCAACAGCAATAACTCCCTTCCCCCATCAGCCAAAACCAACAGTTCCCCAAAGCCCAAATGTAAAATCCCACCGGCCAGGTAAATGATATGGAGCTTTACCAAAAGCTCTGTATGGAATTAATTTGTTATAATTCAAAATCCTGAAGTCTGTGTTGTG